AGACTGGTCAGTACCATTTATAGCTCATTGTCTAATATTTGATTTCCATGTTTTACAATCGAGGGTCATATAGGACTCTCGAACTTTCAATTTGTTGAGGTTGGTCCTGAAATGAAGGCTTCTAATCTTTATACCTTCAAGTTTCCAGGCAGACGACCCCACAAGGATTGCGGAAAACTGGAGTGGTTCTTTACCGCCCCCATCTCGCCACAAAATGAAAGATGAAGAAGGTGCCAACAGAATCATGCATCATACTTCCTTCCTCAACTCGTCTCCCAAAAGGACTGTTTCAGCAATATTTTTAAAATGTTCCTTTCTAATGCTCCTATATGGGAAGATTAGTATGATAATGTTGTACTCACATGATTTTTTTTCTCGAGAAAAAAAGGATATTGACAGGAAACAAAGACCCACGTGATATCGGAAATCATTCTCCTTTTGATGTTCCGATTTGGTAATGTGACTTTGTATAATTCCTATATACATGACATAGAAAGACTATGGCTTTCTGTCAATGATTGAAATATTTCAAGGAAAAGATAAACAGTTATCATTCTCGATGAATCTCTTGTAGGCTTTATGTTGTCTACTTAGAAGAAATTATGAACACATATTATATACGTCATCTCCCTTTTCTTAAGTGTTGTTGTTTGTTTGTGTTTCTGTGTTTGTCTGTGCGTAATTGGGGTTTTAGCGACATGACCGACATACATCAATCGGATGTAATTACTTTAATGATTTATTTATTTGGTCCAAGCTCTTACGTCACAGTCTGAAAGAAGTGACTTGCTTTGAACCGGGGTCCTTCAGTTTCTAGGTGAAGGCAAGGTGAAGACAGAGATCGAGCTGACCACACTGATGAGTGACGGTACCGCTAGATTTACTATCATTTGCAATTATTATATCCAGATATTGCAGGACATTATTAGAGCAATAGAAGTTACCATATACAGTACTATGTAGAATGTTGACCAATGGATTCGATTTTAGTAATTTAACTGACTGCCCCCGGCTGCCACCCCCCCCCCCCACACACACATACTTAACAAAAAAACAAAAAAAAGCCTATATCTACAAATGCATAATCCCAGATTATGTCGAGTTGGAGCACATAATTAATTACTGGTTGTAGAAGAAAGGAAAGTGAAAGCTTCTGGCTCTTATTAAACCATTTCTTGTCCCTGAACAGAACCTTCTACATGGAGAATACGTAGGAACAAAATGAACACCCTCAAAATTGTCGAAGGGACTGGGTGAGCGAGGGATTGTCTTTATGTTGCAAACAAGGAGCCCTCACAAATCAGGCTTAGTATCTTTGTTGGTGTCGGCTTGCAAGGCTAAGTTGTGACTCGCAATGGTTTCAGATCTTATTAGGATGTAACAAAGCAGTTACTTTTAACAATAAGATGGGCGAGAATCTTTCTTCAGAGAATTTGACACGCCAGCTTCGTGACGTTATCCTCCTTGTTGTAATTGTTGCAAAGTCATCAGGTAAACAAGGATTACATAGTAGCTTAAGATTCAGCTTCCTCTCACTGGCGCCTAGGAGGTGGGGGCTTGGGGGAGTGACGCCCCCATTGAAATATATCTGCTGGTTAATTTTCAATTTATCATATTCATTATAATTATATGGGCTATCGGCATATGACAGAATTTATTTCCTATTTATTCTTGCTTATTAAAAAACAAAACAAATTTGACCATTTGGATCCATATAAAATTTGGTCGGCTACACCCAATTCAAAATGATGTAGATACGCCCCTTTTTCCCTTTAGACTCTCTGCATAGGTCATTTAAGATAGACTTGAGTTCTGGTAAAATATTATAGAAAATAAATTCTCACAGAATCCAACGAAACTTACACTGAATGTTCAAGATTATAAAATAAATGACATGTGAAAGGAAGAATACTAATGCCCTTATATTCCAGTGGTGAAAACGGCCCCTTGCCCGCTTGGTTGATCATACAAATCAAAACATTGATACCTTTTTCACGAAATTTCCATCTTCATTCTCTTCTTCATTTCTTACAGAACAACTGCCCTTGGGATCATATCCTGACCCACCACCTCCCCCTTTAAATCGGCCCCTCTCTCCCCTCTCCCCCTCCCCTTCTCCCCTCTCCCCCCTCTCTCTCTCTTTCTCTCTCTTATCTTCTTTCCGTCTTTTCCCCCTATGTAGTAGGACCAATGGGACATCGGGCCCAGTTCCCTATGGGACATAAGACCTCTATGGTACGTATAGGATTATTATAACGTAGGACCATTGGTCCTATAGGGACTAATGACCGTATAGGACCAGTTAGACGAGGGACAGTAATTTAGGGGCACATGGGGATCATTATTGCTGAATAAGCTGCATTTCAAGTTTTCACACTTTTATTTCGTACCTCGAACATCTTTATATTTTGATGTTTTATTCATAGATTTGCTTCAGATCTCAGTTGTCTTCCTGCGACAGGGTAACCAAAATCATACAACATAAATTCCTTTGTTACAAGGTATGTGTTTCCTCATTTACTCTACACGGTCTCCAAATAGCCCACTTCAATTAACAACATACTTTATTTGTTGTGGTTAAGTATGGATCCGCTTCATCTAAAATTAGAAAGAACCACACATTTTCCCAAGCGACAAAGAAATGTGTGTAGGACTGTTACGCAATATTTCTTCTTTTGGGGGGCAAAGAACTAAGGTTGCCTGGCGACGTTATGCAGAACATTTCGCAACATAAAGCCTTTGATTTTGAAACCAACTACCTGTAAATAGAAGGGGATTGTTATAATCAATCATCATTTATTAGTCATATTTATTTTACTTGGTTCCCCTTATATTCCATGAATTTTGATAAACGAAATGAAACTACATCCTTGTTTCTCAGAGACCATTCAATTCAAAAGGAACAATGGTAAACAGAAGTCTATTAAAGGAATTAATTTGAAAGGCTTTTCTTCTTCATGTCAATTAACAAGAACGCGTCTTTTGTCGAAATCCATTTGGGTAAATTAATTAGTGTATTTTGAATTATATATCCATTATAATGCGTATTATTCTTGTGACTCCTCCAAACAAGTAGTAGACTTTCGTATAATAATGCCAAATGCTCGATATATCATTTTGATAACGCTAAAATAAAGATTTGCTTGTTTCTCATTTCTTTTGGAAAAAGAGGAAACCTGACTGATATCATTGCACTCAATGTTTTATTTATGAATTGATGCTTTGTTGATGGTAATCCGCCCCGGGTATATTCCTTTTCGTATCCACGTTTCTCTCATTCTCTCCCTCCTATTTGTTCCCTCTTCTCTACTAGTTTTCAGTTTCTTCTTTCCTCGCAGAAGCTTCTCTGCCTGGGGCGGAGATTTCATCCTTTAGCCCAAATAATTGTCTAGAAATTGCTGAAACTTTTCACTCTCAAATAATCGACTTTAATTTATAATGATTCGGTGAAAAGGATTCATGACGTCATTGTTGCCTGGCTGCTGAACAATCGTTCTGACTCGTTCTATGTATTTCATTTAATTTGTCAGGTATATCCTCCTTTACATTTATAAGGTACTTACTTCTGTATCCATTATGACTTTTGTGCATTGTCTCGTCATATCCGATAGAAAATGAAGCGCATTTCCAATTAATCCAAATCCATACAATGACAATGTCTCTGACCCAAATGACGTATGCAAACGTCAAACAAAACTATCCGAATACAGACTCTTTTGTTGTCATGTACAAATATTTGGGAAAAAAAATTACACTTCATGCTTTTTTCATTGATGTCTCGGTGAAATTAATCTTCTCAAAGAAGCTAGTCACATACGTGCTATCAGGTGCGGACGCAGGGGGGAAGGGGGGGGGGGGGGGTTAACCCCCCTCATTTTTTTAATGTGTGTGTTTGCACTGTGTGTTTGGGAGGAACCCCCCCCCTCGTTTTTTTTAATGCTTATCGGTGACCTAAAAAAGGTGACCTTACCCCCTTCCCCAAACGGCACAAAAATGTTGATCGGTCAAATTTTCAAATTTCGGGACCAAAAAAAAATATAAAAAAATATGTCCTCTTACCCCCCCCCCCCTCCTCCCCCACTTATTCAGCGGCTGGCTGAGGCGTTGCGAAATTTTCGGCCCGATTTGAAATTGTTAACCCCCCCCCCCCCCCCCCCTTGAAGAAATCTTGCATACGCGCCTGTATCAGTGGGACACGACTGATTGAAGACACACGTGCAGAAACCGTCAGCAGTGAAGGCAGAAATATGCGTCTTCATTTTTAAAAAATAAGACAAAAATTATGTAGAAAAACGATTTGAATGATTGACAGATAAACAAAATCATAATATATTATATTATAAGCAGGGAGAGGGAGAGAGATAGAGAGAGAGAGAGAGAGAGAGAGAGAGAGAGAGAGAGAGAGAGAGAGAGAGAGAAAGGGAAAGAAAGGTAGAGACAAGAAAGAGAGAGAGAGCTAGCACTGGTGTTTCAGGCTTACTATAAGTGGACTTTTATCTCCTCACTTCTTAGTTCTTACTACTATTATGTCGAAGGCTCTTGAGAGATCCTGGGCTCGATCCTCGCTTGGTGTTTGTTCCATATTTTCCCCTCTTGATCCAGCTTGATGACGTTATTGCCTGCATTTACAATGATTTTCAGCCATTTTGTGGTAATTTGATTTACCTACTACTAGTGCTCATCCATTCATTTGCCCATATAAGTTCATCAATTTGATTGAAAGCTTAAGAAATATTTTTCATGGCAAGACATATAAATTTTACATTAAAAACGTGTGTTCAGAGAAGAAATTATTATTTGTTGTTGTTTGCTTGTTAATTGTTGTTGTAGTTGTTTTCTTAAAAACTTGAGGATTTTTTTAGTTATGTAGCATTTTTATTGTATTCATTTAGTACAAAAAAACAAACATACAGCTTCATTGATTTACATAACATATAAAAATATAAATAAAATTGTACATCCCTCAAAAGTGAATGTCTTTTATATCGCGATATCCAGGACGTGGTATCGTTTGAGTATCGTCAATCTTTTGGTAACCTGACAGAATGGCTGACCGAAAATTGCAGAAGACAGGCTTAGTAGACCGGCCCTTGAGCAAAGGGAAAGGCGAGGTTCGTTTTAGACCCTTATTATTATCTAATTTAGTAACATTTTACTTTCTATAGTGCATTATATAGGTTATTTTGCGTGGCGTTTACAATGTCAAGTCCCACATACCAGGATGTATGTGTGTGTGCTGTATTGTATTGGATTAACTTGCACGTAGACTAAATCTAGGTCTATTTTCTCCCCTGGCGCTGGCCTCGGCCTCGGCAGTCGGTATGTCTATTCGACTATAATGAGTCATGCTTGTGACTGTCCTTTGCATCTGTCCTCCATGGCGATCTCACTCTCAGTCTGTGGATAGAGGCCAAGCCCAAGCACAGCTAATTCTGTTTGCATTCATCAAGACTAAAATAATTTGACAAGAAGTCAAGACAAGAGAGCTTGTTTTCTAATTCATTGGCCACGCCGCGCCCATGCCCATGATGTGATTTTAGTAGAGTTGCAAATCGGGGAGTTTGTTAAAACTGTCATGACTGTTGACATGCATGAAGAAGACAAAGAACAAGAAGAAGAAGACAAAGAACAGGAAAAAGTTCAAGAAGAAGAAGAAGAGGAAGAAGTTGGAGCAGGAGGAGGTGAAGAAGAAGAAGAAAAACAAAGTCGTAAAAATGAACAGTAGACTCTAGATAGACTATAATACAATGTGTGTGATTAATTATTCCTTCAAAATGTCCCTAGTTGGATTTGCAAAAATTGAGAAACATTTACGTATTCAGTGCGTGTGATGAGCACCACGCTTACAAAACGCAGTGTTGTGTGCTACAGCGTCCCTCTGTGATACAATTAATAGTCCACCCACTTCACAAAGTGCATGCATCTCCCAGACAGATCACTCAATACAGTAGGTATGTGACTATCGCGCACATTGGCTTGGTTTCAGCGCACCCGGCAGCGGTCTCACGCCCAATACGAGTTACTCTGCAGGGTTCCTCTTTGATTGCGTGTGGAAACGGCGGTTTCTCGCCAGATTTGGCTTGCTTGTCTGATGACGTTATTGGAAAAATTTCCTTTCGCCTCGACTTCGAATTTTCAGAAACGGACATGTGAAAGTGCATTTTTGTTCAAGTCAAAGTTCATTGTCATCTTTACCATCGTAATCTTCCCTGAAGATAAGTTTTAATAGTTCTAAAACTAATTTAATTTGTTTATTTATACATTTTTCTCGTTACTTGATGAATATAAATCAAATCGGAACATACGATCATTGTTTTTTTACTTCCTCAAAATTGATTGTCAGGAAATTACGGAAATTCGTCTGTCTTTTTGTGGCAGTGAGTTCATTAACGACTAATTAGCTAATTAATTTGCTAATTGCTAATTACTAATTAATTATAGAAGGGTCTATAGTACATCAAATAATACAATATTGGTTTTCTTCCCCTATCACATGTTCTTTCCTTAAGGTTTTATCTAGAAAAATGAATAATTTTTACATTTTTGATAAGACCATCCTTTATATTGGTCATGGTCGGTCACAGATTTTGAGAGGTCTCAATGGTAAAACAATGGCGATAATTAAATCAGATTTTTAATCTTAAAAAAATCATAACTCGCTAAATATTTGTCCTAGAGCTATGGTTTATACATGTATACCATTTTAAATGGTTTTTCAAGCCCTTTCCAATGATATAAGATACAATGTAATCCCACAATTTTTATTTTTTTAGTCACATACCTAAATACAGAGGCGCTAGAATATTGCAGAGGTTGTGTCACATATTTGGTGTACAAATATATCATAAATTTCTGTATTTATCCAAAGGGCCTTCTCCATTGGGGCCCTATTCAAAACTTGTCATTTTGTGTATTGGAACAAATAGGAAAGTTGTCAAGCACTTCACGATAGTGACACTGTCAATTCAACCAGTTTGAAGTGCTCATACGTATTAGATTACAACCTTTAAAAAATCATAGATTTGTCATCTTTTGTCTGATTTCGTTCAAACTTCACGAGTCTGCTTATCTGATTGGCTTTTAGAGTAGTTTTCTATTGAGGCTGGATCTCACTTTAAGTGATGTCTCCAAATATTAAAATGATACCGTAATTGGATCTGTATAGAATGCACACACATTATGTAGTCCTGTGCATATGGATGGGATTATGTACATGTACATAATTATATGGGTTTTGTTTGTAACCCTTTATTCAGGGTTTTCATAGGCTATCGTCTATGTTTGCGCACAGGCTGCACCTAAACTTTGCGTTAGTTATCATATTTTGAGGCAAATGTCAAGTTTTTTGTAATGGAAAATATGGGATTTTTTCTACTTTGTTTTTTAATTTATGGGTATCGGTAGGTTACTCATGAGTGCACCTTGTATAAGTTTCAAATTTTTCTTTTGCTACAACTCATTAACTCTGCATAGTACTGTGTAGTGGTCCCTTCCCCACATTGATCACTGATTTGTGTTCTTGCTAACCAGCAAGGTGCACATGGTCCTGTAGTCATCTGTTTGATAGTTAACAACTAAATTATTCATACCCCTACAGTGTTGATTTGATGTTATTTTGCGTTAATTGTAATTCAAGAGTGAAAAGTGGACATGTTGAATTTGGTTCGATCCAGACCTTCTTAAAAGAAAGTTGGTGTGAAGCGGTGGAGCCATACCTCCAATACTCTAGGCTACTTCAAATGGTTTAATTTTCTCAGAGTTATCAGTGATATTATGTTATTAAAATTCTGGAGAGAGATTTGTGTATTTTGTTTTGTGTATCGCTTTGAGTAATAGATAAGTGCGCTTTATAAGTATTTATTATTATTATATTTTATATTATATAGTTCATATTTCAAAATTTGCTGTGGTAATAGTAGTTAGTACATGTACATGTAGTAGTAGTAGTAGTAGTAGTAGACTTTATTGGTTCACTGGTGTTGCACAAGGCTTATGTGACAGTTAGTCCATGTTTTGCTTGTTTCAATCTTTCCCACAGATTAACATTAGCACCTTTGCCTTGCTATTCTCTGAAATGGTTCAATACTGTCAGAACAGAGTTTCGTCGGTGCCAGAACTACAGAGCAAGTGAGTAACCATCTATTATGCTATCATACAATTTACATGCAGTAGCCTACTGCCTAAAGACCATAGCAAGGGGGCAAATGGAAAAAATGTACATACAGTACATTATCAAAGACAGCATAAGTTTGTATGGAGCATGTTTGTTAATTGCATTGTAAATCATGATCAAAATCTACAATCTTAAAATAGGGAAGTGTGGTTTGGCAGCAGGACTTATAAAAAACTTGCCCATACATGTATGCATCCTCAGATTGAAATGTTATTGAGCAATAAGATGTTAACCCATACATTGTTTTCCAAACAGGTTGGCTATCCATGTTTTGATTCATTTTGAACAGAAAATATCCGAATTTGTATGAGTTTTGATGAATCTGTTGAAAGAAGCAATGGTGAATGTATAATCTTATTTCCATGTAGTGCTTCTCGATGTATATTTTCTATCAAATCCAAGGGCAAAAAAAAAAACACCTCATCGATTGATAAAGAGTCCAGATGACTAAGGAACTTCCATTATGGACTTGAAGTACTCTTAGGATTAACACACTTGTTAATTTTCAAAGGTGCAACACTCCTTATCCTTTTATCAATACCGTGCAAACTACATGTACATGTAAATGATATAAGTTGGAGCTAGCTCAACAAAAACATAAACAAAACCCCCACACACAAACACACACAAATACAAACATACAAAGGCATGTACATTTAAACTATAAAAGTTGGAGCTAGCTAAAAAAAAACAGAAACATAATCCTTACACACAAACCACACCAACATAAAACCCACACATAAATATATGATGCTCTTAAAAGAATACACATCTGTACATGAATATGCCTTCATGATTTGATCCTATTCTCCTCAAAATAACAGGCTGTCTGATTTGGGGCAGCACGTAGGAGTTCGAATTCTGGACTTGCTTTTCATCCGAGAGAGAGGATTGAAAAGGGAAACCAAACTGCTCAACATCTTGCTCTTTATCAAATCTAATGTTTGGAAGGTAAGGACACCCAGAAGTAGTGTTTATTGATCAGTGTTTGCAGAATAGAATGTAAAGATATAAAATAATGAAGTAGTACAAGATCCATAAGGTGTATTTATCAAGTGATTATTATTTTTTTGTAAGCTCATTTTGCAGCCATAAATGTGTAGCTTGCATCTAACTCTCTTCATTTTATCTCTTTGAAATTCTGAGAGTGGCAAAGTAATCATGTATCATACTTTATTGGGCAAGTATTAGACTACATGTAGATTAAAAATGGGTAATAGGTTCTGAATAAAGTAGGCCTATCTGATGCTATCTTTAAGCACTGTGTATGAGGAGTTTACTTCATTTAAAGGTGGTAGTTATGGATCTCAATATATTGTAATATCAAAATCAAAATTCAGATTGCATTGTTGAACTTCATGGCCTGAATTCACAAAGGTTGTAGTAGACAAATATAGGTTTATGTTTTAGACCAAGGTTTGTCTGAACCTTGGTCTGAAATGCATTGAAACGCGTCATATGACGCACACAAACCTAGGTTTGTCGACAAACCTCCTTTGTGAATTTGGGCCACTGTGTATACAATTTTGAACATGAACAGTATGTTAGATGTAGTATGTATTTCAGCTCCTTTCACCAGTGGGCCATTTAGGATGAATATTCCCAACATTTTTTCTTCATTACAGGTTCTCTTTGGAAAAGAGGCAGATAAATTGGAACATGCAAATGATGATGAAAGAACTTGTATCCTTTAGATGTATTTTAATTCTGCATAATTCTGCATAATTCTGCATACACTTTAGTTCGGCCAGTCCAAGGCATATTTGTCACCTTGTATGAAAGATGTTATGTGAACAGTTTATCTGATGATTTTATTAACTTGGCTTTACTGGTTCTTGTATCAGACCAAACACCATTAAGGAATTGATACTTACATGGTTGATGTTCTGCATTGTCATTATTGTTGGCAACATAGATTGCACTAAAAAAGCAATAGTATACCTTGGACTTACTCTTTTTAAGATACTGTTGTGCTTGCATGATGTAGACTTAAGTGAGAGAATGATGGTTTGAAAGCTGGATAAATTGATTTTTGTCTGTAAATGATGAAGTACGTATGAAATCATTTGTGATTCCTTTTAGCACATTTAGCTGAAAAGTATTAAATGAAAAAAAAGTTGTCTAAATCTCTCAAAGATAAGAAACAATGAGCAAAATTTGCACCAATTTGGGATTACATTTGATGATGCTTGATTTCCATTGAATTGTTCCTTGATTACTTGTTTTATATGCAGTCCAGAAGATAACTTTAGCTTGTAATTAAGTGTTGTTTGCCTCAGCAATGGTAAACTTTTAGGATAGGAGAAGTGCATACCTGTCTTTTGCAAGCCATAAAACAAACACATCCTGTTTAATGTGACTTTGTGCAAAGCTCTCATACACTGTACTCCAATACATGGGAATGGCTTTTAATGAAGACAATAAAAAGAAGAAACAACAAAGTAACTGGTATATGGGACTACAGTATACACGTATTTGAACCTGTAAGAATGTGATTTATTTGGTTCATTGTATTTGTCAGTAGAGTCATTTACGTTGAATTTTTCTGGATGATGATTTGGTCCTAACTCCATGATGTGACTTCGTGCAAAGCTCTCATACTCCAATACACGGGAATGACTTTTAATGAAGACAATAAAAAGAAACAACAACAACAAAATCAACACTAACAAATAAATTAGTAAATGGGACATAGTATACAGTGTACATGTACTGGTACCTGTGAGAATGTGATTTGACTTGATTTATTTTGGTTCATTGTATTCGTCAGAGTAGATTTATGTACCTCTCTTTTTCTGGATAATGATTTGGTCCTAAATGTGAACAATTTACGACTGTCCAGTTTGAAAGAAAAATTTGATAAGTTTCAAAGGGGCAGAGGACAAAAGGAAAAGGATGTGGTGATTGGTGGTGGGGACGATTCCTGACATGGTGTTAAAGGGATCCGGTAACTTTGTCTCAGATTCTGAAACAAAATCCTGGATTAAGCTCATGCTGCAATCATAATTATAAACCTTTTGGTCAGTCAGGGACCCCATGACTTTTAGTTTTACAAGCCGATCGCCTGTCTGTTTATCAAGATATTTATGATCGAAAAATCGAAACCAAATTTTGCGTTTTCCTTATGGTTTTCATAACACTACAGTCTATTGGGCAAAACAAGTTTGGTAAAACCGAAAACTCAAAGATTTTGTACTTTTTTGAGGCACTTCTTGATCAATTTGAAGCGCAATTTTTTAGGGCTTCAATATTACACCATATCACAGACACTTATAACATGTAGGGCCATGCATCTCAGATTTAACATTGTTAAATGATGCCTTTAACCGATCATAAGTCATGAGAGTATAAAGCAAGCATTCAAAGATGTAGAGCTAGAATGAAGTGCCTTGAATGATAAAAGGAGGCTCTATTTTTCTTGAAATGTCAAGAGGCACTTGACTGTTCCCACTAATGACCTGTGGTTGCTATACATTGTACAGGTAAGATAATGAAGACTTGGCTAGTGGAATGGACTAGCACAGTCTGAGATGGGGCCCCTCAGGGGATTTTAGTATTTTTGTATTCAAGGAATTGAAACAGCTTCCGAAAACACTTCTGGTTTGACAATCACTTTATTGAGCAAGTCTGCAATTTCATACACTTTATACATTTAATTTGTTCTGCTGGATTGTTACACATGTACATGTACCCAAATCTTTAAAGTTCCACATACATGTACCGGGTAGCTGTTTAAAAAAATGTTCTTATTAAAAAAAAGAATTACCGGTATGAACAATATAACATTTTCTGTAATACCATGTCCAAGATTTAGTCTGGAATAATGCTAATCTTTTTTTGAATGGGGCCTGTTCTTTTAAGAAATCAAGTTCAGGACCCTATTTTAGAAGACTTGTTATCAAAACAAGTTACAAAAGTTTTAAATTTATTGAAGTCACTGTATTTGATTGGCTGTGAGCAATTTAAACAAAATGAAGTGAAAACTGTAGTTGTGAAACAGTGCCCAGATTTTAAAAGATTCGCCTTTCATCATACTTTGGCTCAGCATTGACTGGTATCAACGTGAAGTGTACATGTACACTGTACAGTATATCCCATAGCAAGGTTATGGCTTGGCAGTGTAGCTTCCAATCAATTAGATAACAAGGTTTTTTCCATGGAAACCTGAGTCACCTCAATGAAATCTTGGATGATCTCTGACTCCAAGCCATAGAAGATGGAAGATCAACCAGACTTTACTTTCAGTATGAAGTCAAGTCTGTTCTCACTGTAAAACCTTGTTTAGGCATGCAATAAACTGTCTAAAAGGTCTAAAAGGTCTAAAAAGTACAATGTCATGAAGACAGGAACTTTTTCACATTAATGAAGAGCCATTTCCCCTTATTTTTTTTAACATTGGAACAAAACAAACCCACAGCAATATTTGTTAAGGGGTAGAGGTGGAGGAGAGGGGGTAGGGGGGGGGGTGCTGCATATATGTCTAAAGGAGTGTGAATGGTTTTCCAAGGAGCTTGACTCTTGAGTACCATTTGAGCATATCACTTTGGGGAGATGTGTGGGAGATAGTGTGGTCTACCCCCACAGTCTAGCCCACAGTCCCACGCTTGAAGCCCACACTACCTACAAAGTGTGATCAGATAATTAAAGGATGCTGCATTTTCTTGGCTGAAGTGATGTTTTATCTATAACAGAAGTCGCCTCTCAAATATTTAGTAGGGCTTTGTTTGAGCATGTGAAAAGTGCACCACATATTGACGTGTGACCATACATTAAGTGGTTCATGTCCATTTTTAGATGACATTGACATGATGTTTATCCTTGTTACTTGACCATCTTCATTATGATTGTCCAAACAGGAGATTAATGTCTACCTGGCTTTCCGGTACTAATTGGGGAATTCAATACTTCCGGTAAAACCTGCCAACTTTTAGAGCACTTTTTCTGAGTAACTGGTCAAGTGGTGTCATCCCCCAAGTATGACTCAATCAACCTTTTCACATACAATGCAAGCAGATTCAGGGAACCATTGATCACATTAGATTTCACAGAGATCGTTAATCCAATCATGAATATTCTTGGTTTAATGCTCTAATTATCCAGTTTACCTTGTGCTATAGCTCTTTCTTTTTTACTGGGTAAATCATAAGAGAGATTTAAGCAGTTTCCTTGAAATGTAATTAGAAAGTGTTTATCGGACATGTCTACTCAATGCCTAACAAGCATGTTTGTTTCGATGTCTTTATAAAAAAGAAACCACCTTGTCATTGTGGTGAAGATTTTTAAGACTGTTTTCTTGCAAATTGGCATAATTTCAAGACTAAGTCAAGATTACTTTAGACCATAGGTGATGAGTAGCCAATTTAATAGCCAAATTTAGAAGATAATCATCAGATGATCTTTATGTGTTTTGGTATGAAAAGGAGTCTCGAGCAGTAGATTCCCATGTGCTAATCTTAACGTAACATGTAGCTGTGAATGTTTCATATTAAAATTAAATAGATTTTGGAATTGTGACAGTTTTACTTCACATGCTGGGATGTCTGACAGTTGGTAACGAAAAGTAAACAACATATGATGGGAGGAAATATCCATACATTCAACAGTGAGAGAAAATCTTGATAAGAAACATTTTAAGGGCGCAAATGAATATATATTAGACATGGAACTCTTGAAGAGGTTCATTTGAATAGATGTTATTTGATATCACTAATCAAGAGAGAATTTGTTATCCATATATTTGTAAAAGTGTTGTTCGAAACAATGAGACAAGATACAATCAATGATCCATGTCCATAGTAGTACATGTACACTGTACTGTAGCTTCACCTACACAGTATCAGTATATATTGCATCTCTTGCCAAGTGTTTTTAAAATATTCTAGGAGGGCCCATCTTTATAGTTCTTCTGAGAATGATCAGTGTGGTTTGAAAGTGTACATGATTAGGAAGTACAGAGTGGGTAAGCTGAGAAATAAGTTAAAGCTTGTCAGGAATGTTTAGTGATAATGATTATATGACTTGTTAAAGCACAATCTTCTGTTTAATTATTTACACTTGTGACACTGACAGACTGGCAAAATCATTACAAGAATGGTTGCTGCAACCTTCTGATCCATTGAAAACTTGTTAAAGAAGTTCATGACTTCATTAGTTTGTATTTGAACTCATTAATTTTGCATAGTCATAATTCTATTTGTGATCAGGATCTCAACATCTGAAGTATTTATTGGAGGCCGCCTCCTGATTTGGTTCTTAAGAAGAAATAATAGCCACTATTCTGATTAAATTATTCCCAAGAACTGATCACCATTCTGATACAGAGGTAAAATCATTAATTAGATGATCATTACTTTGAAAAATGTCTGGATCATCTGGCAGCATCTTAGTGTGATTTTTTTCATGATGTCTACACTAAGTTCCACTGACCTTTTTTCATAGTTACAGTGTATGAAGTGATTTTCATAATTTGTAAAAAGTGAACAAGTAGGCATTATAGAAAGAAGGATCCAATGAAAAGGATGGCTCTTCAAATGCTCTCATGTTCTGAATACAAGTAGCAGCTAAAGGTTGTGGACCACATTTTCACGTTCTTGTAGTCCTGTATACAAAGCTATGTGTACAGTCACAACAGTGCATGTAAATGTTTAAGAGTGGACCAATTTCTTATCATTTTGATGATTAAAAAACCTCACAGTATATATTCACCAATACTTATGTGCTACATGATAAACCTTTTTCCTATTTCTTTTAGACAGTTTCTTTAATAATAATCATGATAATATTATTGATCATTAAGGAGCTCTAAAAACAAAGAGTGTAATATCACTTACAAAATTATAGAGCATGAAGGAGAAACATGACAGAGGTGTCATGGTCGAGTGGATATGTCACCGGACTGTGGATCACAAGGTCCGCGGTTCGATTCCCGCCGCAGCAGTAATGTCCTTTGGCAAAACATTGATCTCCATTTGCCACTCTCAACCCAGGTGATGTAAATGTGTATCTGGCAGGAATTAATTCCTTGAAATGCTAGAGCGCCGTATTGGCAGCCGTGCTAAAGCCAGGGTAATAATCGGGAGTGCCAGGAGTGTCAAGTCTGACAGACATGAGGGCTATACATACTGGTAGACTTATAAACATAGGTAAATTGCATTAAGTTACTGAGGGAAGAAGTAAGTTTTAAGAGATCTTTTGAAAGAGGCGAGACAGTCTAATTCTATAATTGAAGGTGGGATATTAATTGTTCCATGTTTTCAAAGCAGCCACTGTATAAAACGCTATTTGGTGGATGAGAGTCTGGATTTGGGAATAATAAGTTTACATTCTGGATCAAAGATTATGAGCTGGTGTTTGTATTTTTAGGGTGTCATTAAGATATTTCGTTGCCATAGATTTAGAACTTTGAAAACATACTAGCAGACCTAAAGCAGAATGCAAAACTGTAGTGTAGAGGTAACCACTGGTGTTCCTTAATCAAGGGAGAAGTATGAGTCTGCACGATGCAATGGCATGGCCAGAACTCAACTTTATCTTTAATCTGACAATTGAATTTAGGGAATGAGTCAGAAGACCGATAAGTTGATCATGGTTTTTAATTCTCATGGGTCTTGTGTCATGTAATGGTTTGTTGGGGTTAGTTTAGCTAGGGGTTATAGGAGGTTGTTGCTGTAATACCTACATGTATGAATACCAATAGGACATAAGACCTTTTAGGCTGTAGTGTAGGGCTGTTGGACAAATTTAATAAGGACTATGAAGATGAAAGTGACTACAGTACATGTAAATGTACATGTACTTTGATTAATTTGTTTTTTCAATGTATATACACTGATATTATGCATACATATGAATTTATCACAGCAATTTCGATATACTCCTTGACTGTTTAATTGACCAGATTATATCATAGAGAAGGAGTCTGTTATCAACAGGTTTATTTCAGTGCCAAAGGATAAAGGTATGTATCCATCTTTGTATATTTTGATTTGTTTTAATTTTCTGTTTATACATTTGGATTGTCTCCTGAGCCAGAAAGGTGTTAACTCTACTTTTGCATCTAGAGTTAATGTTCTAGTTCACAAAAGACAAGATAATGATTTGAAATATATACTCTTGATCAAATTGAGTGTTGGATTGGATTGCATGTTGTGTTGGAGTAAATTCCTTCTTGAATATTAAAAGGTATGAAATGTCATAATTGCTTGCTTTGTTTTTGTTTATTTTGTTCTGTAGTATGTGTGCGCTTCTGTTTTAAATATACGATTCAAGCAAGTTGCATATATTTATGTACACTGTTTACACTTTTATGACAATCTTAATATTAACTAGTGCAAATACAATTTATTCTCAAGCAGATCTCTGTGCAATATAATATTATTTTAACCAAATAAACTCCTACCTGAGAATGTCATTTAGACCTTTATCTATGGATTAAATATGACAAATATGTATATGAAAAGAATAGATAAGAACATGTTTACCAAAAAAGCATGTTCTTTTAACGTTTAAAAATGATCCAGCTATTCATGTGAACATACATGTATGTGCAAAACATGTGTTGTATTGTAATAATAAACCATTATTGATTTAATAGATTTGATTATAGAGAACTTCATTGTGTTTTATCCTCATTCTTTTCATGTACCGTCGGTATATATTTTTCATCTTCACTTCATACATGTATGTCTTATACATGTACTTTTGTTTTTTTTCTTTCAAAGAAAACTTGGATTGCTTGCATGGTTCAGTAGTATACAATGATGAGAAACTTTGACACATAGTTATCTCATGATGAATGAATGTTTATATAATATTCTTGTTTTCGTCAACCCTGTAATCAGTGGACCAACGCAGTGGTAGAACCGGTAGATAGATCTTAATATCACTGCGATTTCAAGCCTCAGAATATTTCCAAACACCTATGGAATTATAGAGTCTCGAGAGCGCGTTTCTGTTTGTAAGCTCTCACAATTTTAATCTTTTGCAGAGGTTATACATTTACTGGAAGATTCTACTGTGACCACAAAGTTGTGTATTTTAGTTTATGCACTAGTTGTCATGTGATTGTTCTTTGGAAGTTTAAAAGAATACCAACCGTAATAAAGGACACATACCGGTACTGCAAAATTTCAGGGGAAATTTGCTGTTCTACCATCATTACATATCATTTGAAACATAGTTTCTGGAACTTTGGCAAACCATGCTGGCCTACTTCAATAAAGACTCAGTTCCGATGTACTGTATCTTTACACAATGTCTTATTCAGGGAGAAAGAGTGAGATGTTTGTTATGAAAACACTACATGGATATGTAACAGTGAGACCAACATTTGTGACTCTTACATATACATGTATAAACAAAAACAGTAATTCTTTCACTACTGAATAATATATTATAACTTGGATTCTGATTGTCGTGAGTTTCAAGTTTCAAGATCATACAAGCATACATGAGAGCTGCGGGGGAAGGGGGCGGGGTGGTATTTGTATTTTTAGATTAATAACATTTAACATTTCCTTTTGACAATTTGTAAGCCAATTGTAATATCCAGAGGTCTTGTTTGTTATGTTTCGTTGTTCCTTGCTTATTTGGATTTTTTGTTTTCTGTTGGCAAACCCATCTGCAAATCCGGTTCGACACTTTCTCTCAATCTCCATTTCATTGCAATACCCCGATGGAGAAAACAATCTTTGATCTTGTGATTAAATTTGTTTCCAATCGGAGAGGGAGTTGAAAAATGATGCTGAGACTGAAAGTGACAGAGCTCTGACTTTGACCTTGGTGGTGATCATTACTATAAGAAAGCAGGTTAGCGTTGAATACATGGTAAGGTTGACTGTGAGGACAGCAAACCAAGGTCCTCATCTCATGTTCATCATCTTGGTAGCAAATATACAAGGCTTGTTCCCCTTTAATGGTGGGCTGATTTGATTCTTTGAATTTATTCAATGCATGTCATGCATGGTCTTGGTTGGGCCACTGATGCTGTCAGGCTGAAAGCATACATCAAGGGTTCAGTGACACAAAGATGTAACTCCATATTTTGCCAAAATGAGTATTTGATATCAAAATGTTCAGAAAAATGTGGGCTTTCCAGGAAACACAAAGACCTAACTCCACCCAACACCTCAATGAAGTGAAACATGGACTTAACTCTTGAAGGCCCAAGTGCTCAGTAACACACAAATCACTTTTTCTCAAAATGGCAAAAATGGAGTGACGTCTTTGTGTCACTGACCCCTCGACATGTATCTTTACTACTGTGAGAATATCAGTGAGGTTCATACAACAGTTTGTTAACTTTAGAATAAGTTTGTTGAAGTTATGGTAGGTAGCGACTGTGCGGATGCATTCGTGGTTACAATACTTAAAGTTAACTCCGAGCTACAAATCATGACAGCACGATAACTACATGTACGTGCAGTGGAGTTCTTCGCTCAAAATGAATGCATGTGCTGTGGAGATGCAATTAACTTCCAGGTTACCCTAGCTTGTAGCTTGTAGTTGAAATGAATGCTTTCTCTAGCACATAGTTCAACTTTGAATTCTTATTTTTTGGGGGCCATGCACCCACGTCGCGCTTAGCGGATTGTATTTATAACTTTGAGATTCCGCAAACTGAAAGTTCAATGGGCCCATATGAACATAGCTATTATTCCATGTACCTGTTGGTAGTGAAACATGATACGCATGGTTACAGGTTAATACACATGGAAGATTACTGATACAATACCTTTACAACCTTAGAATAGTTGTAAATGAGTTATGATAGGAAAATAATTGGCAGAATCATCTAGCATTTCATAACAGTCACTTACAATAAAAAGAAGGCGGAGACCCATATCCAAGGGTTCGGAGTGAGGTGCAATGGCTGTTTGAAAATTCATTGGTAGAATATTTCACCTACAGTATCAAACGCCTTGAAAGACATGAATTTACATTTGCAACACTTATCCAGGTGATGTACATGTACAATGTAGATCAGGCCTTCTCAACTGGCACTTGTGGCGCTTGGGGTCAGTCGGAGTGGGGCGCGGCTGTTCCAAAAATTTAATAAAAAATAAATGAATAAATTTTAAAAAAGAAAGAAAGAAAAAATTAAAAAACTATATTTTAAACTTTAAAAACTCAGCAAAATCAAAAAGTTGCAGTCGAAGTTGAGCCTAAAGTGTGAGCAAGCCATTTTGTGTTTGATTTTCACTTAATTTTGACATTTTCTGTGTTTATTGCACCAAAATAACTACATATAAATTTACTTCCAGTGTAGATCGTACCCAGAAACTGTACTTATTATTTCACATCAATATGAAATGATGATTTATATATTTTGGAATAAAAAGGTGTTAAAAATACCTCATCTGGGCCTTTAAAAAGCCCTAAAATCCACCTGCTTCAGGGGGCTTTGCCCCCTGGACTTCACCCATTGTCGGCTCGGCCTCTACGCTCCCTCGCAACACAGTCACCAAACATACAGGTTGGTACTTCAACCTCAAAACATTTTCGTTTTGGCACTTCTAATAAACTAGTTGAGAAGGCCTTACGTAGATGATTATCAGTAGGGAGTAATTCCTCATCTACAATGTATCAGGTGTTGAGTTTGCTATGTATAATGTACCATTGCCTAGTTCCTATAGATTATGGAGATGTGACAATACTGGCCAAATTTCCAAGGTTACTGGTTCCTAACCATTTTGTACTAAGCAGTGGCATGGTGATAACACCAGCGCCAAACACTGAATTTGCCCTGCTCCAGCCTGTTGCTTGAATGATTTCATGGTGAACCTCACGCACAGGCTCTATTGTTTGGAACCAATAACCTGGAATATGACGTTATAGCACTTCGGTACTCTATGGAGTCCAGTGGTCACGTCTAGCCTACTCTAGAAGTGTTCTGAGGCCATGTTGTTGCACTCTGAAAATTTAAAACTTTTCTGAAATAATTCCTCAACAACCTAGCTACCACACAACCAAGCTGGTATGCAACATTTTGCCAAAATTCCCTTCTTAAAGGCCTCAATGCGTCTCACCCAAACTTGTGACTCAACGTATTCCTGTTGTGCAATCATATACATTTGTTTGGGCCTTTGGTCACTTCTTTATGACCACTTCTTTCTGGCCAAAGTGGCCTGGACAGTCCAATGGCTTCTATTGGTAAATCAATAATGATAAATCAAAATCGAATTCAGCAACTGTCCACCAAAAAAAGTATATTCTAATCTCAATTGCACTAACTTCATCACATAGATCACTTGAAGCATTGACATTAGAGGTCTGTTAGGGGAAAAATTGCAACCTCCATGCCATCCTTTGCCTCAAAAGGATTGTTGTGCACATTATGAATGAGGAGGGGCCTGCCCCACCCAAATGTAGATCATCTAGTCACAGAAATGGTCCTGCACACTGTGGAATAGAAGATTTGGTGCGTTGGCTTTCCTGTCATGACTGGCAATTTTGGGCATCAATAGTCAACATATACATGTATCTGCAGCAGCACAACTACACTTTAGAGAGGGATTATCTTGATCTCTGATTTTGTTAAGCAATCTTGTTTTTGGTCTAATACTCTTTGGTCCTTTGATCAAATCAAGAGACTGAATGATGGTTGACAGAGGTCCAACACTCACCTTGGAAAGTATGGTTCGAATCTGAATGCTCTTTCATGCATTGTGAAGGGGGAAAACCCCATAGCACGGATTAAAATGTATGCCCATACACAGCGATAGCATCTAATTCCAGGATTACACTGGTACTATACCGTCTTATTTTTTAAGAGGTGACTAATTCTAATTAATTGTAGGGATGCAGCACTCAAACCGAGTCGCACTGCTAAAGCAAACTTGGCCCTTCAGGTAATTTCATGTTCTGTCTTGTTTAGTTTGGTACATGTCTGTCTCGTCAGTGTGACTGGAGTATAGAGCAGCTTTTTTAGTCATATTTCCACATTAAGATAGTTTCAAT